AAAGAAGTCCATCACTTTTTTACATTGTTACAAGAGAGCCAAAGCTGAATGGCCTGAAAATAGGCTACATGTTTCACTGAGAATTACCTAACCATCAATTAATTTGTGTTTTACACTTTGTTTGGGTTTTTTATTTCTCTAGGGCAAGAAGCATGTGTTGGGAGAGAACCTTGGGGAAAAGAAGGAAGTGACAGTGGACTTGAGCAGAAGCCTTAAATCTGGCAACTGTGCTTGGAATGACTTGAACAAAGAGAACCAACACTGTCCTTTTGTGGAGAATTAGAGATTTCCTTTTCCAGGATCTTGCTGTAATTTGAGTTTTCTGGGGGGGGAAATCCTGCAATAGACTGAAATTCTGGAGCAGTGATCACATTTCTTGTCTATCCCTGTGGGGAAAGATTACTCTCTCTCTCCCCCTCCTAGTTTGCCATGTCTTATGTACAGCACAGACTTTGGCTCTTCTATTGTACATTGCTGTATTGATTTTTCTGTTGATTTTTTTTTTTTTTATCTGTAGTAAATAAATTTGTGTTAAGCCTTTGCCTTTGCTGACTGTATGTCCTGATAGGACAGCAGGACCCCCCTGCTCGCCCAGCACAATATTTTCTTTGGGGACAAGGGTTCACGAACAAATAGTTCAACTTCCCATTAGCCCTAAAAACTGTAACACGCTGAAGGGTCTGGTCTTGAACCCACATGCTATAGCAAGGGCCAGGAAGCTGCAGCTCTGTGCAGGAGACTGTACATCTGGGGTTGCTTCTGAAGTTAAACTGCCTGCACTGGCCTAAAACTAATGTATACAAAGGACTGTAGACTATTGCAAGGGTCTGGCATGAAGGTGAGATCCAAAACAGCATGGGATAGTATTGTGTGCTAATACTGACCTTCTGTTGATAAGTCACTAAACCTTGCTGACCATCAGCTCTCCCTAGCACAGCCTTGGGACCCCAGGATGTTGTTATGAGCCAACAAGTGGAATAGGGACTGAATAAAATGTCTGTGTCCTGTAACTGAACTTAAATCTCCAAGGTTTGCAAAGGTGCATTTTCAGCTCTCTATCATAATTCCAGCCTCATAGGTGAGGAACACCCTCCTCTGAGGGATTGTGAGCTAGAGCAAGATCTGTGGATGAGGTGTCTGGATAGGGTCAGCAGGCAATATTCATAGGAGAGGAGTTGTGTTTGCAGTAGCTCATTGCAATGCTGGAAAGAACACAGCCTGCAGTGCTTATGTGAGTTTTCTTTATTTGCCTGGGCTATGAAGATCTAAACAAACTTGAAAACAGGGGCCAATGGCTACTGGTTAGACAGTGTCACCACACAATGCAGGAGTGAGGCAAAAGGGGAAGGTACAGCAAGAAGCAGACAATAAATAACAAATACAATAGTCCCTGATATTCTGGCAGGTCTGAGGGCTACCTTTCTGCCATTTATGCATAGATTTGATCTAAGATTTGATCTAAGAAAAGAATAAATATATTCTCTGGTATTTTGGAAGGTCTGAAGACTACCTTTCTCATGTTTATGCATAGATAAGACTTGAGCTAAGTCTTCCCCAATGGAAATGAGCCAAATTTACATTAGCTTTTTGTTTGAGGTGATGTGATAGAAATCTCAAACCCAGTACACCTCCGTGGCTGTCTGCAGGGATATAGGACAGCTGCACAGAGAAGCTAGGTAGAGTTAAATCAGGGAGAGATCTTAGTTGGGGGCAGGTGTTGGATGAGGGATCCTCTGAAGGAGGAGGATGTGTGTCAGCGTGGGTAGAGGTGTTTGAAGGAAGATGCAGGTTGTCTGAATTGTACTGAAAAGTCCTGAGACATAAAGAACAGTGTTTTGCAACTCTTCAAGCCTGCACAAGGCTGGGAACTGCTGGGGCTATTTAGAGGTGGAGAGAAGGGCCAGCGTGTGTGCTCCTGTTCCCCAGCTCCCCCTGCTTCTCCTCCCTGACCTCTGCTTTCCCTTTCGCTCTGGGAGACTCCTACAAGTGACCTGTGTCTAGAGACAAGCGGGAGTGGTAAGTAGGCGTTTCTGTTGTGCTCATCTGACGATGCTGCTTGCATGGGCTTGGGCTGTGGGCCTTGCTTCCACTGCTCTTCCCCTTTCTGCTGCCATCCTCAGTTCCAAATCTTGAGGAAGCTGTCCCAGGAGCCAGTGGCAACAGCCATGCCGTCTGCTGTCACGCCCAGGCAGCTCACTCTGTTATCGTGGCCAGAAAGTATTCCTATGGGGGAGAAAGGAAAGGTCAGGGAAGGAAGTGGGGCTTATGAGAGATGACAGGGTTGACCATGCAGAAGACATGCATCATGGGCTGTGTACCTACACCCCTGCATGTCACCCTGTTCCTGTACAATGTGTTAAAACTGGTATGTGTCTAATAAGAGCAAACACACAGAAGAACTTTTGTGCATGGCCTACAACCACCACCCATGGGACTGGCTGAAGAGCAGTGTTCTTGGGCAAGTACGACCAGCTGAATCCTCATACAACTGCTTTCACCCTGGAGTGATGTAGGACTAAGGAGGGTGTCCTTGATACGGCTGAGAAATGGCAGTGATGTCGGCCACATTTGAAAGAAAAATGGTGTGTATTCTATGTATGAGCATCAGAAAATATCCAAAGATGTTGGATGGAAGCCATAGCCCACTCTCGGCTTGGTACCTGGCCACCGAGTGCCACTGTGAGTACCTGGAACTGGCAAACAGCAGAGGCTAGGAGAAAATAGGAAAGTCTGGTGGTTGTGAGCGGTATTAGCTAATAGTAACCTTCTTTCCCCCTTGAGACGATGTTCCTTAAGGTCTTGACTTCCTTAACATGAGAAACGATAGTTCTGCACAACTGAGGGTTGTACTAATTATGGTGTGCTCCTTAAGTGCAAGGAAGCCTTGTTAGGTTTCACTCAGTATAGGATGTGTTCCCTTCAGAAAAAATAAATGCCTTTTCCTTGCCTTGATAGGGACACAAGGCCTTGCAGGGAATGAAAGAGCCACTCACCCACACGCTCTGCTTTCAGGGAGTCCCAGATGTTGCAGTTGAAGTCATCATACCCAGCAAGCAAGAGACGCCCACTGCGGGAAAGGGCGACTGATGTGATTCCACAGATGATGCTCTCATGAGAGTACACTATGAGCTCCTGGTCCGCCCGGAGGTCAAAGAGACGGCAGGTGGCATCATCTGAGCCAGTGCAGATGGCTTCACCATTAGGGAAGAACTGGGGAGGGCACATACCAGATTTTAGTGAGGTTTTCCTCAGATCCTGACAGATTTCCTCAACTCTTCAACTCCCTGCTAACCTCCAGGAAGCCACGGAGGTAAGAAAACCCAGTGGGACAAGGTACTGGATCATAAAAGTTGAGTCTGCTGAAGGGGGAGATTGATGCTTCTCCTAAGACCTAATAAACCCCTTCCACCTCAAGAAAACCAGTGACCTAAGGGCTAGAGCTGTTGCAAGACATCTCAGTCCTTGAGAAAGGATTACTTTAGCTCCAGCTGTGAGTTTGGGGCTTGACAAATGTCTACTCATTATCCCCCAGCTGGGGTCTAGCATGATTCAGAGCTATGAGAGCCTTCCTCTATCTGATCCTCATACCCCAACCTTCCCATACATGTTCCCTTTCTGTGGCCTTAGTCTGAGAAGCAAAGAAAGGGCTTCTAAGGAGCCCTTTCTATGGCAGAAAACCATGTGGCTGGTAAGGTAGCAGTGGGACAGATGAGAAAAATTGTAATTGAAGTCAGTGGAGGGTGGTTCAAGCAGCAGACTGCAGAAAGCTGGCAGACTCGTTGCTTAGCCACAAGGATTAGTCTGGCACGTTTCTTGCCCTTGCTGTCTCTAAGGCTCTGGTTTGAATCCTTGCCTCTGAGGGCATACTTTCTCCCAGATGTCTGTGCTGTC